TTTTCTTCTTCCTGTGAAATCTTCTTCAGAGAAATTTTCAAATGAGAGTATGTGATGTGTGTGTTTATCTTCTTCACAATATTATATTTATATATACACAACTACAAAAAGGGAAGTGGCGGTTCACTTGCCGACTTTTTTTTTTTTTTTTAATAAATAAATCCATACACACATATCCATATCATATATATATATATATATATAAACCTAATTTAATACCAAAATATTACAGTTACCTTACAACTAACGTTAAGTAGATACTTAAAAATGTTCAATTTAATTTAAGTTGATATTTAATTATATGAAGTCATTTAAGTTGGAAAAGAAAAAAAAGAAAATTTAATTTTTTTGTTTTGGTCTCATCATGTGGAAGCCCAACAACTTTCAAGCCCCAAAACCAGCAGCGAGAGAGAGACGGGAGATCGTGCAGGCCAAATAGGAGAAAAAAAAGAAGGAACATGGAGTCGACCATCAGAGAGGTCGATTAAAAGAGGAAATCGAGAGGGAGATAGGGCATACCAAAACCTGTTGATTGAGAGGAGAGGCAACAGAAACTAGAATTCAAAAGAAATAGTTTCGAGCAGGTTCGAAATCGAGAGGGCAGAAACCAGAAAATAGAAGAACCTGTCAATTTCATCGAGATTGAGAATCGAGAGGAGAGGAGGGACGCAAAACCAGGTTTGGGGGAGAGGAGCGAGTTGAGGACTAGAAACTGTCGAGAGGCAGATCGTTATAGAGCTTGGGCAGAAACGGTCGATTAGAGAAGATATTGATTGAGAGAGAGACCGACAGAAGCATTTTTTTGGTGGGCAGAACCAAAAACAACAAACTGTCGATCGAAAGGGAGAACGAAGAATCGATTTCCAGATTATAGGAGTGTTTTCTGAGACGATTTCTAAGTTTCATCATCTATTTCTCCGTTACAATCAATAGGTCAGTTTACATTTGTTTTGGAAATGAGTAGCTAATCTTTTAATTTCTAGCAATTGGGTAGCTAATTGACTATGAGTGTGACTGTGTTGAGTCTGGATTTGGTTTATGATCAATTGATTTCATTTATGCAATCCTTGTGCTCTTTTGTTTTCTCCTATTCAAGTTTGATTTCGTAAGTTGGATCCCTTGCTTAGTCTAATTTGGATTTGAACTGCTAGAGTGATTTGTGAATCCGTAATTGTTTGTTAATTTCTCTTGGTAGCAAACAATACACGATTGGCAAGTGTGTTAATTGTATGTATTGTAGGATGGCATAACCCAACTCACATAATCGGCGTTTGATTATTGGTTGGTTTCGGTATTTGTATGAACTTAATGCAATTGACAATTGAATTCCAAGTCCGTGACTGGATTAAATTAGTTGATTAGAGGCTAGTTATCGGGGAATCTCGTATTAGTCATGTTTTTATATCAAATAGAACGTCAATGCGTATTGCTGTTCAAGCCGATTTGAGATCCCTTGAAAAAATGGTTTGGCCGGGTCGATGATACATAATTCACATGATTAATCAGTTGATGCTCATTGCTAGATTATTTTGTATACCGTCTAGAAGTCTTTATTTAATTTGCATTTTTTTAACTTGTTTATAAATCATCCAATCCCCCCTTTATACATATATATACATATTATCTTTAAAGAATTTGCATCTGGTTACGTCTTGTACTTACGGTTAACACCGAGTCCCTGAGGAAACGACCCTACTTATCGCTTTCATAAGTTGTGTTTTAGAGATAATAGGCTTATTTTTTATAATTTCTATTATTTGCCGGACTCGACACACGTCAAATTTTTGGCGCCACTACCGGGGACTCGATAAGTTTAACTGTTTATTCCAAGATCGTTTCGTGCAGGTTCACCATTGCCAATTGATCTAGAAATTGAGAAAACCGCAAAGAAGCTAAGAGTGCAAGCTAAGCTTCGAAAGAAGCAAGACGCGTCCACTTCTTCATCGGTTCTCAATATTTGGAAAGATATGAGTTGTCGTCTGATTTAGAAGACCAAACGGAGGAAAAGAAGAGAAACCTCATTCTGAGCAAGAAGAACCGGTCATCGAGATTGAAGAAGAGAAAATGGCGAATCCCGAACGCACTTTGAGGGAATGGGAAGCACCCAACGTCGCCGAACAACGTCTTTGCATCACCTATCTGACGGAAGAGGTAAGTGCTGAACTCAAAACTGGTTTAATACACTTCCTACCTCATTTTCATTGTTTAGCTAAGGAAGACCCGTACAAGCATATGATTGAGTTCCACATGGTATGCTTGGGGATGAATCCACAAGGCACGACGGTGGAGAATCTCAAGCTGAAGACATTTCCATTATCCTTAGTTGATGCAACTAGGGAGTGACTTTTCTACTTACCGTCGGGATCCATCACCACTTAGGTGCAAATGGCGAGAACATTCCTTGACAAGTACTTTCCTACATCCAAAGCCATCGGGCTTAGAAGAGAGATATGTACGGTCAAGCAGAAGGGCATAGAGTCATTATACGAGAATTGGGAGCGCTTCAAGCGCCTTTGTGTAAGTTGTCCTCAACATGGTATTTCTGATGAATTACTAATTCAATATTTTTATGAAGGTTTGTTATCGATGGAGAAGAAGATGATGGATACCGCGAGCGGAGGCGCTATAGCGAACAAGACGCCAACTCAAGCGAGGACCTTGATAGATACCATGGCGGAAAACTCCAAGCAATTTGGAGTACGAAGTGACGTTGGCCGAGGCTCTAGTGAGGTACATGTTAAATCTCTAGAAACTAAAATAACTGATTTGACTAACCTTGTGAAACAGCTTGCCATGGGTAATATGCCTCAAGTCAAGGCATGTGGATTTTGCTCATCAGTGGCACACCCCATCGATGCATGCCCGGATTTACATGAAGAAGAAGAGCAAGTGAACGCCATTAGGGGTGGCAACTTTCAGAACTCAAACAATCGGGCTCCAGACCCTTTCTCGAGCACATACAACCCCAGTTGGAGGCAACATCCGAATCTGAGCTATGCCCCGAGGCAAGGACAAGGACAAGGTCAACAATTTCAGCAAAGAGATTCATTCCAGCCGCTTCAGCAATTTCAATCTCAACAATTCCAAGCACCGCCAGGATTTCAGCAACAAAATCAACTGAAGGCACCATTTCAGCCGGGTGCCCCACATCAACATCAAGTGTTACTACAGGCTCCTAGTGGCTCAGATATGTCATTAGAGGATGTAGTTAAATCTATGGCTGCTAACATGGTGAAATTTCAACAGAAAACTCAGGCGAGTATTCAGGACCTTCAGGCCACCGCTGGCCAATTAGCAAACAAAGGAAAATTTCCATCTCAAATGGAGACATATCCGAAGGCAAATGTGAGTGCCGTCACTTTGAGAAACGGAAAGAAGCTTCAAGAGGTTGGAAGGAAGAAGAAAGAAAAGGTTCACGAGGAAGAAGAAGAGTTAGAGGTCAAGACATCCACTTCGGGTGCAAAGGATGTCAAAGAAGAGGAGGCAAAAAAGAAGACACCCAAAGTGATAGTTCAAGCACCGGCATTCCCGAGCCGATTCGAGAAGACAAAGCAGGAGATCGAAGAGAAAGAGATCCTTGACACATTCCGGAAAGTTCAGGTAAACATCCCTTTATTAGATGCAATTAAGCAAGTTCCTAGATATGCTAAGTTTTTGAAAGAGCTTTGTACAAATAAAAGGAAACTAAAGGGTAATGAAAAGATAAGTATGAGCCAAAATGTGTCCGCTGTTTTGTAAAAACAGTTACCACCAAAATGTAAAGACCCGAGCATGTTTACCATACCATGTAAGGTAGGAAATGTCTCGGTAAATCAAGCCATGTTGGACTTGGGGCATCAATTAATGTTATGTCATATGTCATTTACTCATCTTTGGATATAGGGCCCTAAAGCCAACCGGTGTGGTAATCCAACTAGCGGATAGGTCTATTGTCTACCCTAAAGGGGTATTCCCTAAAGGGGTATTAGAGGACGTGCTTGTTCAAGTCAATGAGTTGGTCTTTCCGGCATATTTTTTTGTTATAGATATGGAGGAGAAAAATGCCTTCAAGGCCGATATGCTTTTGCTAGGTAGACCATTTTTGAAAACCTCTAAGACTAAGATAGACATCCATAGTGGTAGTTTGACTATGGAATTCGATGTCGAGATGATTAAATTTAATATATATGATGCCATGCGATATCCGAGTGATGTTTCATCTTTATGCTTTGTTGATATTATCAAGCCTTTATCTAACACTATGTTTGATCTATCTAATGAGGATGTGTTAGAAGTGATTATAGACAGGGACTCAATGAATGGAAGTTTGAAGAAGCTTGCCCAAGAGTACAAGCTTGATGATGATTTTGCAGAATTGGTGTCTTGGATGGAGAAAGGGTGAGCACCAAAGCCAAGGTATGAAGTTTCTAAAATATATTTGTCTATATCTCACAATAGACTTTTGCCTTCTGTTGAACAGGCACTCGAGCTAGAGTTGAAGACGCTACCAGATCATCTGAAGTACGCCTATTTGGGAGATAAAGAGACCCTTCCGGTGATCATATCTGCCACACTATCACCGAAGGAGGAAAGAGAGCTTGTGGATGTTTTGAAGGAGCACAAGAGGGCGATTGGATGGACCATCGCTGACATCAAGGGCCTTAGTCCCTCACTTTGCCAACACTAGATTCTATTAGAGGAGGAGAACAAGACATTCCGAGAGGCGCAAAGGAGGTTGAACCCACCGATAATGGAAGTTTTCAAGAAGGAGATACTCAAGATTTTGGACACCAATATGATCTACCCAATCTCTGACAGCAAGTGGGTAATCCCGGTCCAGGTAGTTCCTAAGAAAACTGGCATTACTGTGGTAGAGAATGTCGAAGGTGAGTTAGTGCCCACCCGTGTTCAAAACGGGTGAAGGGTATGTATTGATTATCATAAGCTTAATTCATCAACTAGAAAAGACCAGTTTCCCCTTCCATTAATAGACCAAATGTTAGAAAGGTTAACCGGACGTACTCACTATTCTTTTTTAGATGGTTATTCAAGTTTTCATTAGATACCGATGGCGAGAGAGGACCAAGAGAAGACCACGTTCACCTGCCCCTTCGGTACATTCACCTACCGGAGGATGCCTTTCGGTCTTTGCAATGCACTGGCGACATTCCAACGATGTATAGTGAGTATATTTTCAGAATATGTGGAGAACATTATTGAGGTTTTTATGGATGATTTCACATTTAATGGTGATTCGTTTGGTTCATGCTTAGATAACTTGACCAAAATTTTAAAGAGGTGCATTGAAATAATTTGGTTTGGAATTATGAAAAATGGCACTTCATGGTCAACCATGGTATCGTACTTGGTCATGTTATCTCAGAAAGGGGTATAGAGGTTGACAAGGTAAATATCGATGTCAAAAAATCCTTGCCTTACCCCTCGAGTGTTAGAGAGGTCCGTTCTTTTCTTGATCATGCAGGTTTCTACCGGCGTTTCATTAAAGACTTCTCGAAGATCACTCAACCCCTTTGTGAGCTTCTACAGAAAGAGGTAGACTTTATCTTCAATGAGGTATGTATGAGTTCATTTGATTTGTTGAAAGATATGCTTACTTTTACCCCTATCATCCGACCTCCTAATTGGCAATTGCCATTTGAGATTATGTGGGATGCTTGCAATCACGCCGTCGGAGCGGTATTGGGACAGAAAGACGGTAAGAGCTCTTATGTTATCTATTATGCATCACGATCACTTGATAGTGCATAATACAACTACTCAACCATCGAGAAAGAGTTGCTAGCAGTTGTTTTTGCTTTAAAAAAGTTTAGATCTTATCTTTTTGGCACTAAAGTGATTGTCTTTTCAGATCATGCTGCATTGAAGTACCTACTTAAGAAGAAAGATGCAAAACCGAGGTTGATAAGGTGGATTCTCTTACTCTAAGAGTTTGATTTGGAGATTAGAGATAAGAGCAGAGCTAAACATTTTTTTGCCGGCCACCTTAGCCGGCTAGTATTGGATGGAGAGCCAAGCCCACTCACTGATGAGTTTCTAGATGAGCACCTTTTCTCCGTTCCGGGTGAAACCCCATGGTATGCGGACATCGTTAATTATTTGGTTTCAAAGAGCTTCGCAAGTGAGTTATCTAGACCCAATAGAGAAAAGATTAGGAGAGAGGCTCGTCTCTACATGTGGGACGAGCCATACCTTTGGAAACATTGTCCGGATCAAGTTATCCAACGATGTGTGCTCCAAGGGGAGTTTCAGTCTGTTTTATACTTTTTGTTACTCCCATGCTTGTGGGGGCCACTTCGGCCATAAGCGGACATACCGGAAGGTACTTGAGTGTGGGTTGTATTGGCCGACCCTTATGCAAGATTGTTGTCTCTTTTGTAAAAGTTGCATGAGATGCCAAATGACAGGAAACATTAGTTCCTGGAATCAAATGCCCCAATTTCCAATGCTAGTATGTGAGATTTTTGATGTTTGGGACATGGCTTTCATGGGACCCTTTCCCGCATCTTGTGGTAATCTTTACATTATTTTGGCCACTGTCTATGTCTCAAAATGGGTTGAGGCAAAGGCCACTCGAACTGATGATTCTTTTGTAGTTGCATATTTTGTCAAATCTCACATATTTTTCAGGTTCGGGACGCCCAAGGCCAACATCAGTGATCGAGGCACCCATTTTTGCAACAAGTTCATCGGTGCGTTTTTCAAGAAATATGGGGTTATCCACCACATCTCCACCGCCTACCATCCACAGTCAAACGGACAAGCAGAGATGTCAAATAGAAAGATCAAGTCCATTTTGGAGAAGAGTGTGAATCCCAACCGGAAAGACTGGAGCTTAAGGCTTAATGACGCTTTGTGGGCCTATCGTTTGGCCTACAAGACGCCTATAGGTATGTCTCCTTTCCGGTTGGTGTACGGTAAACATTGCCACCTCCCGGTGGAATTAGAGCATAAGGCATATTGGGCAGTGAAGACGTGCAATATGGATTTGGATGAAGTGGGATCGCATAGGAAGCTTCAAATTCAAGAGTTGGAGGAGATATGGAATTACGCCAATGAAAATGCTCGCATCTATAAAGCGAAGACCAAGGCGTTCCATGACTCTCATATTTCACGTAAGTCTTTCACTAAAGGTTAGAAAGTTCTCCTTTATCACTCTAGATTAAAGTTATTACCAAGTAAGTTAAGGTTCAGATAGATAGGACCTTTTGTTGTTTTAACTATTTTTTAGCATGGTGTAGTAGAGATACAAAGTCTATCTACGGGGCAGATTTTCAAAGTTAACGACCATAGGCTAAAGTCGTTCTATGAAGACTTTGATGAAGGGGATTTAGAGAGGGTAGCTTTGGACACGCCAAGCTACAAGAATTGAACCGAGTATGGTCTAGCCAAAGACATAAAAGAAAGGCGCTGCATGGGAGGCAACCTACGAATTTCCATTTCTTGTTCTTTATTGCTTTCATTTATTTAGTTTGCTTTTAGATTCTCCAATTTCACTATTGGAAATCCGTATTCTCAGGTTCACCCCGGATGTTGGACGCTCGAAAAGACGCGCCCATTTCCACGGATTCTTACAATGGGAGGTCACTCATCAAATCAGGGGAGTTTTCTGTTTCTTTTCCTTCATTGCTTAGAGTGTCCTCTACTTATTGCATACCTTGAGGACAATGTATGAATTAAGTGTGGGGGTGGGGGTCATTTGTATGATTTGTATATATAAATGGTTTTAGGGGTAAAATTTTTGCTTTTTGCAAATTTTATGCTTAAATGGGGGTCTTTGTCCGTTTTGACAATGTGCTAAGATGCTTTTAATGAGTTTAAATTGTTGATGATGATGAGTTTGGATGCATGTATATCTTGATTGGGCTTGATTGATAGGACTTAGAGTCGATTAGTGGTAGTATATCGGTCAAAGTTAGACTCTTGATAATCTCGTGAACTAGCTAAACAACATGAGACTTTGAGCTTATATGACTAAACATATAATTTTAGTCTTAAATTCATTTCTTGTGTGATTACGTCGTGCCTAGATATGTACCTCTAGAACTTACATTGTCTCTCCTTAAGACTATATGATATATACATGCTAATAAATATGATAAAGGCCATCATTTGATCATTTTTCATGTTAAGCCATTAGCCTTTAGCCTACCCTTTTATGCTATAATTACCCTTTTGCATGACACTTTGAGCCTTAGTCTATTTCCTTTTTCACCTACATCATGAACCAATCCAAACACAACTCACCCGACCAATCACCAATGGAGTAGTCCCAGTTTCCCTGTGTGCTCAAAAGATTGTATATATATGTTGAAATGCTAAAAAAATGAACGGAAAGAATGAATGAAAAAGAAGAGAAAAATTCGAAAAAAAGAGAAATAAAGAAGCCAAAGACGATAATCAGAATGATGAGGTTGAATGTGCTTAAATCATCTTTATTTCCTATCGCCTAATGGGGAATGTTCATTAAAAGATAGATACGGAAATTCCTTTGTGAAATGAAATTCTCATGGTTGAGTAACCGAGTTGTCCATTTGGTAAAAGGTCCTTTGTCACTTTTTCCCAAAAATACATCCCTACCGTACCCAAAGCCTTGTTTTTCGTGACACCTTTTAAGACCTTTTGGTTTATAAGCATGTATTGTATCCAAGTAGTGGAGAGTGAGAGACTTTTCAAGTATATGGTAGGTACATGCTAGTGCATTGACCATTTGAGCGATACACTTTAACCCAAGGAGTGAATCGAGTGTTGCTTTGTAAATCTCATTTGTGAGAGTTCTCGAGATTAGCTTTTGTCTACTTGATTGCGTGTGCATCCTCTTTTCAATGCGTTGTTGCAAATCTCAAACTCATGATATGCTATATGTGTTGACATTCTTGTTAGATTCGATTTTTATAACTACGTGTTAACTTAAATCATTGCCGGGACGGACAATGATCTAAGTGTGGGGGGAACTTGATAAGTACCAAATTTATACATTTTTATGTCAAAGTTAGGGGCTGTTTATTAAACACTTACTTGGTAAGTGCTTACCGGATAAATTTCATTATCGGATGAACATGAGAAAGGGCAAGAATCTTGCCGGGTAAGAGCAATGAAAAATGATAGAGAGTCTTACCCGGTAAGTAAGGATGACGACTCTTACCCATGTAAGCACTTATCCAGTAGCTTGTTGCATTTGATATGTTTTGATGTACTAAAATCTTACGTATCAAAATAAATTATAATGGTGAATTTTATCGGTAAACACTTACCGGGTAAGCATTTCGGTAAACGGCCCCTTACCTTGCAACTAATGTTAAGTAGATGCTTAAAAATGTTTAATTTAACTTAAGTTGATATTTAATTATATGAGGTCATTTAAGTTGGAAAAGAAAGAAAAAAAAAGAAATTTTGATTTTTGTGACAGGTTTCTAAAAATCCAAGAAATTTATTTAACAGGTTTTCAGAAAGTACAATGATTTATTTGTTCCAAAAAATTGTCTAAAAACTTAATCATTTTAAGCAGTAAAGTCCATTGTGTTTTTTTGGACTTTCCTCTCCATAAAATGATAAACATGTTCAATTATAAGATTACCGTTGATCCATATATATATATATATATATATATATATATATATATATATATCAACAATTCGCAATTCATATGCATACAAAACTATAAAAATAAAATTGTGGGACAAAGATAGGGATGGCAACGGGGCGGGAATGGGGCGGGGTTTGCAATCCCCGGCCCCGGCCCCGGTTTATATAAATAGTCCCCGGCCCCGGCCCCGTCCCCAGTCAACTTTCGGTCAACCCCGGTCAACCCCCGGTCAACCTCCGGTCAACCCCCGGTCAACACCCGTTTTAACCCAATTATATATATCACTTATAAGCCCAAGTCCATAATAAATCTAAGCCCAATTATATATATCACTTATAAGCCCAAATAATAAAAATGTTTAATATTTATATATATACCGGGTACGGGGCGGGTCGAGGGATACAATACCCGGCCCCGGCCCCAACCAGGAACGGACCCAGAAAATTTTCTATACGGTGGCACCATATAATTAATATAATATAATATACATCTAAAAATAATTACAAAAAATATGGTTTTTATGGTACCGATAAACAACTCGTAAACTTGTACCCGACGCGTTTTTATCTTTTGAAAACGGTCAATATATACCCAAAAATAATTACAAAAAAATATGTTGAGAAACAACTTCTAAATTTGTCCTCGGCATGTCTTCATCTTTTGGAAACGATCGATTACATCTTCGTTTTTAACATTACTAAGGGCTTCCTTTTCTATGGCGCAAATGAGGGCAGAATTCAAAAAATCATCACCAATTGAGTGAGATAAGCCTTCTGATTTATGAATCGTGAATCGTCCGAGTCTTCAAAATCGTTCCAAAATCGAATCGATTCTTCTTGTTGACAGTGTCCTTGGTGGTGGCCCTCCCTCTGTCGGCTGTCGGTACTCGGTCGCTACGCAAATCTGCAATCGCTGGTCGCCTGGTCGCTGTCGCTCACTCGCTCGTTCGTTCACAGACTCGGCTACTCGCTCTCGTCTCGTTCTTTCGCTTCGTCTGTCTGCCAGGTTGCACAAGAAAATGAAGAAATTGTGCTTAATCTGTTAATCATAAGAAATGAAAAGCCCAAGATGAGGAATAGAGGATGTAATGGTTTGTAACTTTGTATATTTGATTTGGGCTTAATCATATAATTGGGCTTTGCATTTTATTAATGTTAATTAGAGGTGGCCAAAATTCGGTCCCGGGCCGGGCCTTAACCGGTCCCTACCGG